TTTTTTACGCATACCTTAAATTACAACACTCTTTCTCGATGTAAAATGTAAATAAATAATATAATATTGTATATTTGTACGAGAAAATAATAACAACAAAAATAAAACATAATTTGGATTATAAAATTCAAAATGTTGATTCATTTTGTAATGAACATTTTAAATTCATAGAATAACAATTATTATTAAAGTACAATATTATTAATTACTATACTATTAAAATAATTATTACTATGATAAATATTAAAAATTAAAAAATTCTGTAAATAACAGTACCACCAAATTATTTTGTATATAAAATCAGTTGTAAGGCACGTATTTTGAACGGCTACAGAAAAAAATAAAAATTGAAACCACAGACAGTTGGTACTAATTCAGGTAGAAAAAAATTGTAAACAGTTTCTCTACTATTAATAGCTCAGCTTTTCGTATTAGTTAGTGCAAGATTTTTCAGCTTAAATAATGTATTTTTATCACTCGGATTGTGTTTTTTTTTTTAAATTGATCAATAACAAAACATATATACGAGTATTAAAGATCAAAATTAAAATAGCTAAAGAATTAATTAACCGCTACCTCCTGTAATCTTATGCAAACTGTGTTGTAGATATGAAGATTTGATTACCGCTAAACTGGCTTAAACATAATAATTAATAATTAAAAACATAATATAAATATAACTTAATGTTAAAATTCAATACTTTAAATCGAACAAATTTAAAAACTTAATTTTTAAATTACAAAAAATATTTTTAAAAGACAGTGAGAGAGAAAAACAATCTTTTTCTAGTTCTTGATCAGTTAATTTTATTAACAGTTCAAACTATGACATAAACATGAAAAAGTATTTAAAAAAAATATTCTGATGTTATATTATGATATATTATATGATTTATAACTTATAACAGTTATAACATATCGGTTCATAAAGGTTTGTAGTAACTTTATCCATACAAGTCACTTTTGAACACTTCCAACGAACATTTGATTTATTTATTCTTAAAATAGTATATTCATAATCATATTTAAAAATGTTTGGATTTAGTTTAGTAGTTTGGTTTTGGTACATAGTTTATTTTAGAGTGTATGTATATACTCTATTGTGTCACCAAACTCATGTCTCATATTGATTACGATCACAATTCGCGATCTAAAGTTTTGAGCAATTTAATTTTATCTTATCTTGTAAAATATATTCCTCGGTTTATTTATATCGTTCAAAATGTCCACGATCGATTTTACGTTTTACCAATTTACTTTTACCGTACAAAGTGTCCGCGGTATGCGACTTAAACAAAAGATAGAATAAAGTGTTCGTTTACCTATAAAATCACATAAAATCTTTTGTTTAATCCAATGTTTCTCCGAAAAAAAATGTATTTAGTTCAGAACAAAAAAGTTTTAAATCAATACATTATATAATCAAACGAATTTATCTGTAAAACTTTTTAGTTCTTGATTAAAATTATTTATATTATCTTTTTTAAATTCTGAGAAGAGCAATGAATATACCTATTGATTATACAACGATGTATGTAAGGTTATTTATTTGATTTTCGATACAAGTGTCTGTAATTTCCTTTTAAAACTACTTCAAATATTTTAAAAATTAATGAAAAATTCATATCAAATTAGATTTAATTGATAGTTTAGGAAGAGTTAAAAGTAAAAACGTCCAGTATTTTTTAAATTGATTGGAAAAATGTTAAACTTTATTCTAAGAAAACTAGAAATTTCTAAGCAAAATCAATATTTGAAAAATATTTAATTTGTTTTATTTTTTGTAATTCAAAAAATGAATAACTTTAGATACTTGAAATATTCACAACATTTTTGTATTATCATTTTGTAAATATGATATAACTTATAAAATATTCTGACTCATTTTAAACTATTTATAGTTATTTAAAATGTGATATCTTTTTAGGTTTCTTTTCTATAAATATCAATAACAATGATTTTGCTGGATCAAATAGCTTGAAAATATAATACAAAGTTCTTCATAAGTAATTTATACTATAACCAAAACATTTTAAAAATATACAAACCTAGTTTAATTTTATAAATATTTTAAGTTGGATAAAATTAGATTTTTAAACGAAGAATTACGATTTTAGTTATTTTTTTTTTTGTAATTTATAAATATTATTCATGGTACATGAAATTGTTAACGTATACTATTATATTTTCTAATGTTATATTTTTGACAAAAATTTATTAAATCTTCTCTATTTCTGGAAGTGAAATCAATTATTTTTTTAGAAATATAAATAATATATTATAAGTTACACTTATAGTAGGTACTCGTAATATGGGCTGGCCATCTATAATTGCTCAACATCGTTTTTTATATACAACAATAAATTTATCATTTAATTTAAATTCAACACATACATTTCAATTACTCTATAGATAATAAAGTTCACTTGATACCTACTATACACCAGAACGGTATCCTTTTTCATATTAAGTTTTTCTTAAACTCGACTTTTTTCAATTTTTATTTTTTTTCAAAATGTTTAGTTCTATAACGTACTTCTATGGTTTTCTAGAATTATATAAAATTTTTATTTTTTTCACGCTCATATTAGTGAAACCATTATTAACTTTTGATTTTCAAATGGCAACCTATATTTTAAATGTCATATAATAATAGGGCTATTTTTTTTATGAATTTTAACATTATAATTATTAGTTTCCATTTAACCTTAACGAATTATAGCTACTCAAAATTGGGTGGTTTAAGTTTTCAGGTATTTGTCTCTCAGGTTATTACGGCTGCAAGCCATTGATAAAATTTAAAACACAACTATTGTTTCACGTTTATAAAGACCAGTAATTAAATAATAAATCGTTATCGTTCAACCTGAGGTAATAATATCTTTATAGTTTTATATCTACTTATACTTAGGTACAATACGAATACGGACTATATGGACCTTCATGGACTTTGGTATCCATAATATCACAAATTATAATCATTTATAATTTTTTGATCATAGTTTAGTGGTTACAATATCCACATATATATATATATATATATATATATGTATATATATTTACGAGTAAATCTGTGACGATATCATAATACGAAAGTACCTCTTAAACCACGAGATAAATTATAATACTTTAGCTATAGATAAACTTCCAACGATTACCAATAAACATACGTAGATAAAAACTTTGTTAGTATCTATACCAATATGCCGAATAATGTTGTTAACTTCAAACTTTTTAACACAAAATAATATAAAACTCATTAGTCATTTTATCTTTACTCGTCATTACTCGTTTGACATTTTATATAATTCAAGTCATCTTTTCTGTGATTTAAAATTTGAAAATTGAATAATTTCATTACTTTCATTGCTAACGTAAACACTTAACACGTCATACGTCAACATTCATATTACAATCGAAACAATTATTACTCTGTAATAAAATGTTGCTATACAAATTAAAATTATGACTATCAATGATAGATAGCTATATGCTTTTTATGATGTATTTAAATTTACTAATTAATCAAATCTAAGTATCATCCAAATTGGTATTGGTGGTATTATGCATATGAACTAATTGAGTACTTTATCGAAAATATTGCACAATTTGTTGGTAAGTTTTACTAATTTTGTAGCCAACTATAAAAATTCTTATAATATATTTAAAATATTTTAATTTCAGTTTTGTCAGTTCTATACAAATTTTATTCAAATGTATATTGATTGACAATTATAAATTTGTTATGCAATATTCATAGTAAGATAATTTATAACTTTTTTATAAAGTTGCATCATAACTTCACAGCTATTGGTTCCCATTATTAATCAAGAATATTTGTCGCATATTAAAATTCTGCATATTAATATTCTAAGATTATTTCAATGCACTAAGAATAATTTTAGACGTACAATTATATTCAAAAAACTAATTTTTTATGTTGTTGCTTATTTATTTTTAAATATTAATTAATTATTCTTATTACTAATAAATTAATATATTATTAGTGCCATTTTAAAAGTTACTTTGTTTTAAGTTTAGGGTTAATACTTTGAAAATTATATTGATTATTTAAAGATATATTTACTATGAAAAAATTTAAATGTCATTAAAAGGAATTATAAATTTGTAATTGTATAACTGAGTTAAGTTAAAATTATTTTATTTAATATTTATAAAATATTAAACTTGTATCCAATAGGTAGGTATTGTAACTATCAATTAAATGTAGAACTTATATTAAATTTTATTCAAATATGCAATAAGATTATATTAGCTATAGAGATAGATGTTTTATTTTTTATAGAAACAGAATCTATGTATTAGAAAATATTTATCATTTATAGTTTATCAAAATTATTTAAAATATAGAAAAATAAATAAATCATGTAAAAAATTGGGCTCTTATGACTTTAAATAAATTTTTTGCTTAAAACAATGTAATAATAATTATATACTTGTCTTATATTGCCCAATTATAGTATTTATAAATTTTCTTTGTTCCAAATGACCCTTTGCGGTTTTTCTCAAGTCCTGTCTCCGACCTAGGGTATTCTTTTAGAGCGAGTTTCACCGGTTCTAGAAAGAGTATACAATTATTATAATAATGTATATTTAATATTTATACCATATTATATCAATAACATAATATTTCTGTGAATACTGTATAACAGTAAAATTAGATTATTCAGATTCATAGTAGTACCATAAATTATAGAATTCTATAATCAATGGTAGTAACCTATACAGTAAAAATAAATAATATTTTAAAATAAACAAAAAAATGTTATTGCATTCAGTAAAATTCATAATAACACGGGGTGGAATACTCGCACGGTCGAAAATAGATTTTCCCAGTAATAATTAAGATAAGAATTATCGCTAAATATTATTAATTCTAAAACAACGTGTACCATTTACTATTTACTATTTAGTATTCATGGAACAGTGGAGTGGTGAACAACGTGCTCGTCCTATAAAATTGTTTTACAAAAATAATGAAAATTACGTAGCCGCACTGCGTTCACATTTCATCTTTACTTTAATCTTTAACACTATGATTCAGTACCATCTGCTAAGGCTGTTAAAATATGGATTTCTAACTTCGAAAAAATGTGCTCCTGAAAGAAACCTGTACGAAAAAAACGATTCGTCCACTTAAAAATATAACACCTTTGGAAGTGATACACCGTATAATGGAAAATATACAAAGTAGGTTAGAGAAGAGATGGCCATCATCTTGAAAACATGATTTAAAAAAAATAAATGGTAAGTTATTTATTTTATTGTAATAAATAATAATTAATTTGTATTCGTTTTTTTTTATTTTATTGTTTATCTTTGGAAATCGGTTGCTTTAGTTCCTCACTCTGCAAAAAATGCATAAGAGTTTAGGAACCCACGATTTTTTTTAAACTACAACAAAATAATTATCATATCGTTATTTATTGTTAAAAAAATTAAATTTCTCTAAATTGAAACTTTAAAACGTCTAAAATAATAATTGCCTTAATATACAATGTTTCACGGTGAACTGACAATTGCATTAATTGCAATAATTTTTGTTCTATTGAACATTTTCAACTTATTGTTTTTTAAATTATTAATTATCATCTGCATTAGGTACATTTAAATTTATTTTTAAATTTTTTATTTTTTTTAATTTAGTATGTAAAATTATTAATTAAGAAATGAAAAAATTTTCTATTTAATACTTTTAAAATTGTTATTTTATTAATATCATTTTTAAAACATGTTAGCTACAAAAATAAATAAATAAATAAATGTTCAGCCGTTTATTTTCTACAATTTTTTGAATTTTGCATAATTTTATGTTATTTTAAATACATTTTCTGAATAATCGATAATCGCTGTAACACTGATAAACAAGAAATAAATTTAAATTTAAGCAAACTTTAAAAATCGTTTAAAAATTATTAAGTCAACCTAAAAAAATAATTCTCTTTTAAGTTAATATAATATGTTAAACATTAAATGTCTAAGCACTAGTGTAAAAAAAAAATATAACCTACCTAATTTAAGTTAACATAAGTTAAACATTATGTTTATGCACAATTGCTAAATAAAAAAAAATAATGTAAAAATATATTACCTACATAATTTAAGTTAATATAACTAAACATTAAATGTCTAAGCACTAGTGTAAAAAAATTAATGTAAAAAAAATATAACCTACCTACCTAATTTAATTTAATATAAGTTAGATATCAAATGCTCAAACACAAATTGAAAAAAAAAATAATGTAAAAAAAAATAATGCTCTTTTAAGTTAATATATGTTAAACATTAAATGTCTAAGCACTAGTGTAAAAAAAAATATATAACCTACCTAATTTAAGTTAATATAAATTAAATATCAAATGTTCAGAAACATGTTAAAAAAAAGAATAATGTAAAAAAAATAATTCTAATTTAAATTAATATAAGTTAAACATTAAATGTCTAAGCACTAGTGTACAAAAAAAAAAAAAATGTAAAATAACATAACCTACCTAATTGAAGTTAATATAAGTTAAATATCAAATATTCATGCACAAGTTCAAAAAAAAAATAATATAAAAAATATGAAACTTAATTTAAATTAATTATAAGTTAAATATCAAATGTTAAAACACAAGTTAAAAAAGAAAAAAAAATGTAAAACCTAATTTAAGTTAATATAAGTTAAATATCAAGTATTCGTGCATAAGTTCAATAAAAAAAAAATAAATAAATAATGTAAGAAAAAAATCCAATGAGTAATAGGTTTAAAAAAATTTTTTTTACAATTAATAAAATAAGTACCTACAAAAAAAAATATCAATAGCCAATAAGTTAATATCACATAAAATTAGAAATTAATGGATAAGACAAGTTCCATTGGAACGCAGAGGCCTTTGATGAGTTTGATGAAGCCACCAGCCTCTGGCTGGATTGACCACATAAACTCTTTCGCCAGTGCGTGCGCACCCACCACCCGAGCAAGTGCTCTCAACACAAGATTCTGCGAGTGATAACTGGACCTTTTCTTTTCAATAAGTTAAACTAGTGATATTTTTTATTTAGACTCAAGTGTTCAGAAAGTTGTCTTCTCATTTGTGCTACCTTACTTTTCTCAACAAGTACACATATTCACTACTACAAATCTGGTAAGGTGCATGAATGCATGTTTATATTATGCTACATATTATTATTATAGACTATATTATATTAACATAATGGTGTACTTGATCATATTTCCGAGAACGCTCCGGAGATCAGAAAAAAGGTAATAACTTGAATTTAATATTAGTATCTGACGAAATATCTGATAAGTGATTATATTTTCTAGAACTTATAAGTGTAGAAGTATATCGCCCCAATTACATTTTTACTTACATTTATCTTTGCTTTATTTCACTTTTTTCTCCTATTTTTTTAGTTATTACATAAACGAATTTGTCAAAAATTTGATTTACTAGAAGAATGCTGTTTTTTCTGAATTTTTTATTTATTTTCTTAATTATAAAAATGAGTTCTGGGAATTTTCAAGTTAGACTTCGTAAAAATACAAACTATATTCAAAATAATGTTTAAAACCATTTTATGAAAATTAAAGCATTTTATATACAATTTACTTTATAGTGTAGATATTTATCTAAAATAAAAAAAAACAAATACAATATGATAAAATTAATGGCCATCATTTTGTTCAGAATTTAAAATGAATTAATCTAATAATACGTATTATTAATATAAGTAAACTTAATCTATAAATTATGAACTATTAAGAACATGGTTTAAATGTTTAACTTGTATACACAATTTTACTTAATACCATACATAAATATTAAAAGTTAATACAAGTTAACATAATTTGTATTTTTCATTAACGTTTAATATCTTAATTTTTATATTTTTATTTGATTAATAAAAAAAAACTTTTTCTCTTGAGTGATTATATACAGATAGGTACTATAAACTTATACCGTTCTAGATACAAATTACAAATTAGTTATTTGTTATTACTTTATTATTCTTATCAGTTAAAATACTTGATGACGTCAAAAACATAATTTTCAAGGAAATTGCCCCATATAATTTTAAATATATGAATATTGAATAATTATAAATTGCAAATGGAGTATAAAAATATTGTTATATTTGACTATTATTATTGAATAAGTAAAATTTTAATATTAATTCAGTATGATAAAGTAGTATTGTATAATAAATATATTTTACTGATTTACTCTAAGAATCAACACATAAGCAAAAAAATTGCATACAGTATGCCTGTTTAATTTATTGTCATATTTAATAGGAGAACTAGGAAAATAATATTATATTTTATGGATAGAGTATTTATTATGGGAAGTTACCTATAAGTTAAGTAATGAAACATATAACCTGTTATATTTATGTTAATTGATATACTAAAATAATATTATACATAGGCCGTTTTTAATTTTATGTGTAGAGTAGATGGGTAACTTTAATATTTGCCTATTTGCTCTTATAAATAAAATTTTCATAACGGAACTGAAAATGGTGATAATATAGTGACTTTGTAGTTATGCATTATATTAATGAAATATAACTCAAGATTTTAATAGCTATATTTTATTACCAATATAAATTTTATTATTATCAATGACATTGTATAATGAAATTTGAAATGCTATGTACGCATTAAAATTTAAATGTATAAAAAATTTTATGGTCATTATAGATTTTGATAAAATGTATTGAATATGAAATCTAGATGTGTTATTAATTACAGGTTAGGTAAAGATAAAGATTCAATAGAATAAAGCAATTATTGCTAGCTGTCATTTTTACTTTTGACAATATAAAATATGTTTTAATAGTACAATGTAATAATTTTAAGTAACTTTAATTATCATTCTTTTTTTTAAAAAAATGTATATTTTTACTAATTTTAAACAAATGTTTATAATTTTTAGGTAATTTTTTTAAAATTTTTAAGTCATATTTAATTTTTTTTTTTTTTTTGGTCATTTTTTATTTTTAAGGTTATCAATTTCCAAGCCCTAATTATCACTCTATTCGTGTAGTCACTGTTTTTACCTATACAATGATCTTTACAAACGAAAAGTACTACTATTAAATTTCTTATCAAAACTATTAACTACATTCTTGGTCATCGAGATAGATAATAGAATTCTTATCTATCTCGATGTAACTGGCTTCAAGCTTGGTTATTATTTAAATTAGATTTGACAATAGGTATGTAATTAATTTATTACATATTGGACATAGTTACTATAGCTACAAAGTTCATCACTGTGTCAAACAATAGACAAAAATGAGTTTATTTACAGAAATAATGAGTGTTCATTGATAAAAAATCACTCTGTATAAGTTAAAAGTTTAATGTTGCTCTTCTGAACAATTTGATAACTATATTTTTGAGATAGAACTTTTTGGTTTTGAATTTAACCTACACTTATAAAAATTTCTGATTCTCTATCGAACACAAATATTTTTTCATGCAACTTTAGATTTGACATTGTAGTTTCAATAATAAATTATGACTTCAAATAATATAATATTATCGTAAAAACACCTACATTAGATGTTATATTTTTTTTAAAGGTATTCAATCTGTATAAGTTCATATATATTACGCGTTAAACGAATTGGTACGTTTATAATAAGATTGCGTTAAAACTACTTTAAATCTGTTAGCTGTTGGGTAATTGCAGTTTTACCGGTAAATAAAAAAACTTAAGCCATCAGCATTAAACGCAGCGAGTATCAATATATTTCAAACCGTTTTACGCTATCGTTAAAATTTACTATATAAGTGTAGAATAATCGCCACATATTTCATTGAAAGAACGTTATATTGTTGACTACATTTTAGAATTTTTTAGCAAATTAAAAAAAAAAATACATAAGGCAACTTTTATATGTCAGCTATAATTGGGCGCACTTGATCAAATAAAATTTGAAAAATGCCTGTCAAACCCTATATCTAGGCCTATATCACTGCTGGGTTGATAAAATCACTCAAACTGAAAATCGTATTATTTTACATAGATGTTATTGACAGCTATAATCTTAAGTAGACTATAAGCGAACTTTCGTTCTAACATTGACCACACAAAAAATAGACTTAACGTTACAGAATATACAAATAGTAACAATATATATTATTGACATTGTAAACAATATTATTTCGAAAAAATATCATTTCTGTAAAAAAGTCATCAATCTAGTCTTTTCGACTACACCCTTTTTAATTTGCTTACAATTTTAAATTTAAATCATCACAAACAATTGTTTGTATTATTAATGAGATAACAAAACTATAATACTATAATAAATATATTATAATTTTATGGTGTTATCAAAAATTATGGTTGCCTTGTTATTTGTTATATCACATTTCTTATTTTCTATAAACCATGTTTGATTTAATTGTATTTTACAATTTATTTTTTTTTAATTATTAAATTAAGTAATTCATATCGTATCATAAATCGAATGGAAACTTACACAAATATACGCAACAAACTATTCCCAAAAAATAATTTAATTTAAAATAATATATAATAATAATATTATAACATTTGAACTTAATTTACATAAATGTAAACAAATTGCCATCTGTCTATATTAATCATAGTTATTTTATTATTTAAATATTCAATTTTCACGTCGTATAATCTGATTACATTCCATTAGTTATATCTGTCAAAAGAGGTTTTTTGATATGTATGTATTATGTAAATTAGTCGGAGAATTTTTATTGCTGTTATTAGTCTGATGTTTTATTTAAATTTTCAGCAAATATCTTTTATTTTTAATGGTTTTTTGATTTTTTTTCTTATTCTATTTTTAATATATATTAGTTACACTAACTTATCATACACATTATTGTAACATCATCGTATATTTTATATTCTGAACTAAGTGACGCACAATACTGACTTATAAGTTGATAATAGCTACAGTTACATTATATGATACAATATTTGTATAATAAATTACTATCAAGCGTGGTTTGTTTTTAATGAAAAATAATTTAATCTACTCTTTTACTGATATAAAAATTAATTACTCTTCGTTAGTTATGTAAATTGTACAATACGAGTAGTGTATTAAACGATATGTATAAAAAAATAAAATAAAATAAAAACAGTCATAAATGGTATGTCGATAATAAAGATAATTTTTTTTTTCTTTTTTGTTTAAATAAAATGTTTATTTATTAAAACTATAGTATTTGAAATCTAGACTTATTAGTTGTGTAGCCATAGTAAACCGTCACCAATTGAATACGAGTAGTAATATACTAATCATTCAAATCACACTGTAAATATTAAAACCTAATGTTCAAAACTTAAAAATAATAATCTTTCATATGTTTATTGTTACCTAACAGTCGTTTAAATAATTTAATATATAAAATTTATCATTATTCATCAATAAACTGTTATATTTTTATTTTACTATATTTGAGTAGGTTAACAGTTAAATATAACAGTTATGTAAACACCATACGATAGTTGTTAAATATTGTATTAAACAAATAAAAATAAATATTGTTTTTTTACATTACTTCTCATAACAGAACAAATATATACCTATTAAAATATCTTTTTGAATTAGAACATTTTTTCATCGTACACGACAATTTATCACTGAATTAAAATTTAATCTATCACTTGCTGTACTATTTTGAATAAAAAATTATACTCGACACCTACTATTCAACAGAGCAATACCATGGTTTTTACTTCTAACTTATTTAATATTTTTAAGCAATATTGAAATAATATGATAGCAAATACCTAATAATAAACGTAACATTTATGAAAACGTATGTATTAATGTGTATAGTATTTAAGTATATTACATTATTATAAAACTACGACTAAACAAGTGTCGATTAAAATAATATGTGTACGCAAAAATATCAAATTAAATTTCAAATATCCACGTGAATATTTATCAATTTAGAAATATTGTAACATGTACTATAAAGATATAATATTTAGAAAAATTAGGTAAATTAAATATGCATTATAATCGTTTAGGTATCTTAAGTTATTATTACCTATATTAAGAAATCGTTTATTAGTTTATGAAATACTTAATTTAGTTATATTATATATATATATATATATATATATATATA